TAGGAGTTATTAGCCAATGCAAGCAAGCCAACAGTACATAAGCTAATTTTGCGGTTAGCATTGCTCCTCCTAGCCCCTCCCACATTTTACCACCCGAGTTTTTCCCGCCTGAGTTTATACAAAATGGAGGGCTTTTCTTAAAATGGCACCAGTCCCGTCAACAGCAGAAACATCATTTCAGCTTGTTTCTTAAAAATGTATTTTTATAATTTTATTATGTAACTGTACAATAATTTAACATTTAATCAATTCCCTAATCTTTTTTTTTTTAGTGAAAGTTCTTTTTTTTTTTTTTTCTTTTTCCTTTTTGTCTCTTTTTTACTGACCGGCAACAGGATTGCAACCCTCGGTGTTGCGCCCGCACCGCGCTCAGCCAGTGAGCGGGAACCGGTCTCCACATGGGATCCGAACCCTCGGCGGGAGCGCCGCCGCACTCCCAAGCGGCGCACTCTCCAGTGTGCCACTGGGCTGGCCCCAATTCCCTAATCTTTCACTATTATAAACATTGCTTACTCAATTACCTGATATATACTTCTTCTACAACTGTGGAATCTATCCATGGAATAATTTTCCAAGTGTGGGATTGCTGGAAGAAGTTTGTTTTGGTTTTTGGTCAGCTTTATTGAGGTGTAATTTACATACACTAACATTCAATTTTAGGTGTACTCTTAGAGCTTTGACAAATTAATGTAGTCATGTAAATACCAGTTGACATACAGAACAATTCCATCACCCCAAAAAGTTTCCTTGTGATCTTTTTTTTTTTTTTTTAAAGATGACCGGTAAGGGGATCTTAACCCTTGACTTGGTGTTGTCAGCACCACGCTCAGCCAGCGAGGTAACCGGCCATCCCTTTATGGGATCCGAACCCAGGGCCTTGGTGTTGTCAGCACCGCCCTCTACCGAGTGAGCCACGGGCCGGCCCTCCTTGTGATCTTTTGCACTGATATACTTTCTATTGTGGTTTTGCCTTTTCTAGTATGTCATATAAATAGAACCAAACAGTATGAAGTCTTTTGTGTCTAGCTTCTTTAACTTAGCATAATTTGCTTTCAGATTCATCTGTGCTGTTTTGTGTATCAGAAGTTCACTCTTTTTTATTGCTCAGTAGTATACCATTGTATGGATATGCCACAGTTTGTTTATTCGTGAGTTCATTAGGACATTCGTGTTCTTTCCAGTTTTTGGCTATTATGAATAAAGTTGCTATGAGAATTTATGTACAAGTATTTGTGTGGAAATGTGTCTTCATTTCCTGGAGTAAAAACTTAAAAGGGTAATTGCTGGAGCACATGCTAAGTGTATGTTTAACTTTAGAAGAAACTGCCAAGTTGTTTTCCAAAGTGGTATACCATTTTGTATTCTAACCAGCAGTATATGAGAGTTCTAGTTGCATCACATTCTCACTACTATTTGGTATTTTCAGGATTGATTTGCATTTCCCCAACTATTAATGATGTTGAGCATCTTTTCATGTGCTTATTTGCCACCTGTGTATCTTTTTTATTTTTTAATTTTGGCAGCTTGCTGATAACAAGGATTGGACCCTGGATCTTGGGTTATCAATACCACAGCTCTAACCAGCTGAGCTAACTAGCCAGCCAACTTTTTTAGGGAAATGTCTTTCATTCTGTCCATTTTAAAATGTGTTTTCTTAATATTGAGTTTTGAGATTTCTTTTATAGTCTTTTATCAGTCTTATCAGATATATTTTGCAATTATTTCTTCAGACTGCCTTGCTTTTTTAATAGTGTCTTTTGAAGAACACGTATTTTTTATTTAATTTAATTTTTTTAAAGATGACCGGTAAGGGGATCTTAACTCTTCACTTGGTGTTGTCAGCACTACGCTCTCCCAGGTGAGCTAACCAGCTATCCCTATATAGGGCTCTGAACCTGTGGCCTTGGTGTTGTCAGCACCACATTCTCCCAAGTGAGCCGTCTTTAAGGTTCAGCTCAAAGTATACTTTTTTAAATTACGTTATCTTTTATTAATTACCTCATTCTTAGAACTCTTATTTTCATGGTCTGTATCAGGGTTTCCCAACCTTAGGACTGTTGATATTTTGGGTCAGGTAATTCTCTGTTCTGGGGAACTGTCCTGTGCACTGTAGAAAGTTTAGTGGCATCCCTGGTCTCTACCCCCTATGTCAGTAACATCACTTGGGAACTTGTTAGAAATACAGATTCTCAGGACCTACTGCAGTCCATTGTATACAGAAACCAAGGCAGTGGGGTTTAGCAATCTGTCGACTAATAGCCCTCCAAATGATTCTGATGCCTGCTAAAGTTTGAGATTCTCTGCCTTGGTAGATTGCAAGTTTTTTTGTGTGTGTGTGTGTCTGGCTGGTAAGGGGATCCCAACCCATGACCTTGATGTTCGTTAATGAGGCTATGCTCTAACCAGCTGAGCTAACCGGCCAGACCCCCCTTTTTTTTTTCTGAGAAAGAACCATTGTTATCATTGTATTATTGACTAGTGTAATGGCAAATTTATGCTTATTGATCAGTTTGTAATTGCAAAACTGAATCTTTTAAAGGAAGTCTTAGCTAGGCCATTCAGAGAGATGTGTACTATCTGTACACTTATGAAAAAGAATAATTGGGAAGAAGATTTGAATTGACATGAGACTACAAAGAGCAATCCAGTGGGATACATATTTTGATTCAATAAGAAGAAATAGATTTTAGCAGTAAGTGCTGCCTAAAAATGGAGAAGGCCTTGTAAAGGGTACCGAATGACCCATCTCTTTGAAATATTAAGAGGAGCTTGGATGTCAGCTAAGGTGAAGCTTTCAGTTGTAATGCAGGACAAGAATGGCATATCTATACCCTTAATTGTTCTTTCCAGGCATTGTGTCTTGGAGTTTCCTTTTATCTTTTTTTCCCTCTATGGCACTTAGCCGTAATCTTCAATGGTAGATATTTGGTGCTTTTTGGGGTTTGGCAGTTTTCTTGCATGTGTGGTCTTTGACCTTTTCTAGGAGCTGGCATATGCAGTCCTAGTGTGGGATTCTTTCTTGTGTAGTTTTCTACTGACTTTCTGGAAACAGCCCTTTGTGATTAAAACAAGCCTTCCGGAACTCCTCTTGGTATCTGTTTATTCTCAGAAAGAAGTTACTTTTCACTCTTGCTTTAAAAGCCATTTTCTAGATCTGGCCTGTTGTATTCTTCTTTCAGTATGAATGGAGTGGAGGCAGTTTGTATGATGGGTTTTTAAATAAGGAACATTTGTAACTTAAACCTTAGAATGATAACTAAACGTGAAACTGGCGCCTGCCACAGGAGTAACTTAGTTCTCCCTACTTCCTTTTCAGAGGGCTAGAACAGAGATTTCTGTGTTGGATATGAGATTAGACCGGATGACTTTTAAAGGCTTTTCTAACTGTGACTTTCAAGGTTTGACCAGAAGTCCCAGCTTCTTAACTCTAACGCTGGCATATAGTAGGTGCTCAAGAAATGTTGAGTTAAGTAAAATGAATTTGCAAAAATTCTTCATGGTATCCTTTTCTTTTCTCTTGCAGTTAAAAGAGCCAAATTTCAGGGTTCACCAGGTAAGTCCAAACTACTATTATGTCCTTTCTCCCTCATATTTGCTATGATTTAAAAGCAGTCTCTAAAAAATCGATTTCATTTATTAAATTCACTAATTTAATTTATTAAATCACTAAATTCATGAAACCATTAATTTAATAAATTAATCAACTTGTAAATTATTAATTAATTAATTGATTGATTACTTTTAAAAGATGACTGGTAAGGGGGTCTTAACCCTTGACTTGGTGTTGTCAGCACCATTCTCTCCCAAGTGAGCTAACTGGCCATCCCTATATAGGGATCTGAACCCGTGGCCTTGGTGTTATCCGCACCACACTCTCCCAAGTGAGCCATGGGCTGGCCCCTGTAAATTATTTTAAAACATTAAATCTGTATATCCAAATCTCTTCTAGAACATTAAAGAAGTCTGTATATCTGTATCTTTCTAATGAAAAGTTAGTTTAACTACATCTTGGCCAACCCAATTCTTCTCAAAAGTAACTATTTAGAGCTTTTTACATATCTTTTAAGACTTTCTGTGTATACACATGTATTCTCAAATGGATCATACTACACATATTTTTGTGCAACTTTTTCATGGAAGTCTATATATGTGTGTATATTTGGTTCTTTCTTTTAAGGTGCTGTACAGAGTTTTGTGCATTTGTACAGAATTTGTTGTACAGAATTTTGTTGTACATCTAGGTCCCCAATATTTAGATTGTTTTCAGTTTCTTGCTAGTATAAGTAATAAATGTTCCTGTGCATTTATCATTGCCCACTTTTGCAAATGTATCTGTATGTTAGAGTCCAGAAGCAGAATTGCTGGGTTAAAGGTATGTGTTTTAAAAAAATTTGGTAGCTGTTGCTAAATTACTCTTCTGAAAGTTTTTACTAGATAATACTGAGACTGAAACTGTTATGAGCATTTATTTTCCCAAATTCTTTTTTTTTTTTTTTTTTTAAAAAGATGACCGGTAAGGGGATCTTAACCCTTGACTTGGTGTTGTCAGCATCACACTCACCCAGTGGGCAACCGGCCATCCCTATATGGGATCTGAACCCGTGGCCTTGGTGTTATCAGCACCACACTCTCCCGAGTGAGCCACGGGCCAGCCCCTATTTTCCCAAATTCTTATCAACATTATATAGTATGAAACTTTTTAATCTTTGTCCATCTGAAGATGAAAATGGTATTTCGTTATTTTAATATGCATTTCCTTAATTGTGAATGTTAAATTGTAAAGACTTACTCTGGTTACTGCTGGGGAACAAGGGAGGGTGGCTGGGGATTACTGGAAAAACACGACAATGCTTGGGAACTCAGGAAAACCTGAAAAACCAGACCTTCGGTGCAACAGAACTAAAGCTGTTTCTTTTTTTGGTGGCTGGCCGGTATGGGGATCCTAATCTGTGACGTTGGTGTTATAAGGCTGTGCTCTAACCAACTGAGCTACCCAGCCATCCCCTAAAACTGTTTCTGAACCTACTACTTTCTCTACTGGCTCTGGTTTAGGACTTCTTTCTGAGAATCTGCTCTGTCCTCATTTCTCTCCCAGCTGGCTGTCTATGCTTATCCTTCTCACACAGAGCCCATAACAATTGCTCCAGTGGAATTTATATGAGTTTCCTTCCAGCTTCAGCACCAACCACCGATTGTCAGTATTTCCCTCCCCATGCCACCCCCTCCCCCATTTAAAATCTTTTGAGAGGGAATCAGACTGGTCTCAGTTTTGGGCCATCCAATTTATTGGTTGCTCTTGGGTTGTGTTTACCCCTGGTCTGGTCAGATATGTATAGACCGAATGTGTAGGGGTGGAGTACAAAAATCATATGATGTGAAACATAGCACAGTAGTCTACTACTAGATATGGATGGGGATTCTACTCTGTGTGGGCTTTTAATTTTTTTATTTTATTTTAATTTAAAAATTTTTTTTTATTTTTAAAAGATGACCAGTAAGGGGATCTTAACCCTTGACTTGGTGTTGTCAGCACCATGCTCACCCATTGAGCTAACCGGCCATCCCTATATGGGATCCGAACTCATGGCCTTGGTGTTATCAGTACTACACTCTCCCGAGTGAGCCATGGGCTGGCCCTCATGTGGGCTTTTATTCTCATATATCTTTAGTGTAATTATAAACTTTCCATGTGTGTAAGTATAAAACTACATAATTTTTAATGACTCCTAATAGAAAGATTTACTTTCTGCTAGAAGTATGTGACAGGGTCCATTTTCTCACATCTTCTCTAACATTAGGTAATCATTTTAGAGAGCAGCCTTGTTACCCCAAGGTCACAGGTACAGATACCCTTACTGGCCAGCCACAGGGGGAAAAAAAAAAAAACTCCAACATTTTAAGGAATAGTTGCCAATTTGATGAGTCAAAAATGACAGTTTGCTATTTTTATATTTTATAAAATTATTAATTTCTTACATAGAAAAGCAAATTCTCAATTCAGTGCTGCTAATCATGGCTGATGTGAATGTAGAAGGCTGAGTGCAAAATGTGCTGTGTTAAGCAAGTAGATCGGACTTCTGAGCTTTGAATTCCAGGTGACCACCTTTGTTTAGTTCATAGTTTATACTCTCAGGTTAGAGAGTTTCCTTTTCTCAACTCTGGTAACAGTTATTTTTATGTAACTTGTGCTTTAGGCCAAGCTGAACCGATCAAGCTTGAAATACACTAGACTTCTGAGCTTTGAATTCCAGGTGACCACCTTTGTTTAGTTCATAGTTTATACTCTCAGGTTAGAGAGTTTCCTTTTCTCAACTCTGGTATCAGTTATTTTTATGTAACTTGTGCTTTAGGCCAAGCTGAACCGATCAAGCTTGAAATACACTTCCTTCATGAGGATTTTTCCTCAGTTCTTGTACCTGTCAACTGCTCTGCAGTTCTTTATTACTTTTTCTTCTTTATTACTTTTTCTTTTTCTCCTGTGGTACTTATCTCTTTCTACAGTTTATTAAATTTACATATTTTATCTTTCCTACTTGATAATTAGATTAAGTTGTTTTTTATTTTTCAAACTGCGGGTGGCCTATAAAAATTAATTTAGTAGGTTATAATTAACATTTTAACATAGTAAATATCAATCATATCTTGTATTTCATGAAGCTTTTGTTTTACTTTATGTGTGCGTGTATATATACTGAAAATATGTAAAATATATTTCTTAAAATTTGAAAACCACTGTATTAGATGTGCTCTTGAAGATAGTATGTAGTTTTGTAAGTTTTGCAATTCTATTGTGCCTCAAATGAAGCTATATTGTACAATATGTAGCTTCATTTTTTTCTTGTACATGTAATAATTTAATTTGGGTGTTAATTCCAAAGGCTTTGTAAGATTGGTAACAACCTGAGCACTAAGTATTACATCTTTGTTTTGCATTTTTTCAAAGATAAATTTAACACTTATGTGACCCTGAAAGTCCAGAATGTGAAGAGCACAACTGTAGCAGTTCGTGGTGATCAACCTTCCTGGGAACAAGATTTCATGTTGTAAGTAATTTACTGTAGCAGCATGCCTAAATATTCCACAGTCTTTCTAAGGTAATTGCAGTGGATGAAACAATGAGAAGATTTTGTATATGTCTAAGATTTATAAAATGTACTAACACTGTTAAATATTATTTTTGAAAACTTAAGAGTTAAGGAACAAGTGAGGTAGGTGGTATGTGAAGTATCTGTGCAGTTTTGTTCTCGTGGATTCATAATCTGTTCTTACAGATGAATGATGAATGTGGGTAAACTCCCAATTAATTTATGTGGGTGAAAATACTACCTAGTCAGAATTAGGATATAGTACCATGTACTTAGCATATTAAACATAACATCATCTTTCTTTGATTCTGAGAAGCCTCCTTGAAGGAATGTGACTATGCATGTGAGAGACTGTGTTTGTGTGTACCTGTCATCTGCTTTAGTGGATGAAGATTTCTGTGCTTATAATCCTTTTGCTTTATGGGGCAAAATGTTCTATAATCATTTAATTAATTAAAACAAGTAAATGTTAGTAGAATTTCTTATGTATGACACAAAATTTGGTGCATTATTATTTTAAGGTCTTGCTTTAAAAACTTGATATTTCCTTTTTTCCCCTTAAATTTCAGTTTTGTTTATTTTTCCCTGCTCTAGAAAAGGGCAGAAAAGTATAGAATATCGTATTGAAGGACTAGACAAATCACTTAGCTTCTCTGAGCGCCAGTTTCTTTATCTGTAAAGATCTACCTTCCTTATAAGCTTACGGTTGTTTTTTGGGGAATGGGAGTTGGACATGAAAGGGTCAAATGAGAAAATGTGTTGAAATTGCTGTGAAATTTGAAATCGAACTAAAATTGCTCTGTAAGCTTTATAGTACAGCTCAGAGACACATAGGGATGAATATTATTTTTATGGGGAAATATTCCAATCCTCTAGGGTTTTAATATATTGCTTCTTATGTATCATTTAGGAAGCTTTATTGTAATAATTAAAGGGGAAGATTATGATGGCTTGGGCTAAGACAGTAACAGAAGGGATAGAGAGAAAAGTATGTATAAAAGATGTTAAGGAGGTAGTACCAAAAGATTTGCTTGAATGATTGGGTGGTATGCCAGTCATTAGGATAGAGGTGAATATAAGATCAGTTATGGACAAATTTATATTTGAAGTTTTTACAGAGCATGTAGGAAGACAGTTAGAAACCTGAACCTGACACTCAGAGAAGTTGGGTTTGGAGAAATATTTTGGTCAGTTGAAACCATAGGTGTAGATGGGAAAGTGTGGGTAGAGAATGTGTATGCCGAGAAAAGGGCCTGGGTTAGAGCCCTGAGAGCACTAGAATTTAAAGAGGAGACAAAGGGGACTAAGAAGGAATGAGCAAAGAGGTGGAGGAGAGCCAGGAGATAGTGGTGTCATAGAAACCAAGGGAGAACTGGGGTTTCAAAGAGAAAGAGGCCAATGGTGTCACATTTCTCACTGGTTGCCTCTCTCTCGAGATTATAAGCCTCATTTATTCCCTCTCTCAGTTATAGTGACATGAGAGTGAGACCAGCTCTTCCCTTTATACATGTAGTGTGCAGAATCAGCTATGAACAGTTTCCACAAGTCTCTTCCCATACCACTGTAGCTATACCACAGTTCTGGCTATTGTATATAAGCATAGCAATCCTACTCTCTTCTGACTTCCATTTAGCTGCAGCAATCACTTCCTGTTATAACTGCTCCCAGCATGTGAAATACAGTGATCTTTTGCAGCTTCTCATCAGCATAGCTAGCTTTATATTCACGTATTTTTTCCCCAATTTCCTATAGGAAATCGTGATATGTGTGAATTTTCTTCCTTGTCTCCCAATTAAGATGCTGTGTGAATTTTGCCCTCTCCTCTTTAATTTAAAAAAAATTTTTTTGTAGATATAAATGAAGGTTTATTTATTTATTTTATTTTATCAGTCTAGAATGTAGTTGATTTTCGTGTCCCTTTACCAATTCCCTCTCCCCTTTTATTTTTTCATTTTTTAAAAGATGACTGGTAAGGGGATCTTAACCCTTGACTTGGTGTTGTCAGCACCACGCTCTACCAAGTGAGCTAACCGGCCATCCCTATATAGGGATCTGAACCCATGGGCCTTAGTGTTATCAGCACCACATTCTCTCAAGTGAGCCACAGGCCGGCCCTCCTCTCCCCTATTATACATGGGGTTTTATTAGCTCCTTTCTTTACCTTTCTGCTCCTCCTATTCCTTATTCCTCATATCCTGTCTTTTTGTCACTGGCAACTCCATTGTTGTTCTCCTGTTTCCCTTTCTCCTTTTTCCTCCTCCCTGATGTATGTATTATGTGGCAGTATCTAATATTCATTTTGATATTTCTAACATTATTTATCTTTAATATTTCTGTTTCTTATTTCCAGGACTTGATGGTTTATTTCTTAAGGGCAGGAGGGCATCTTCACTTATTGTGTGAATTTGCCTAGCCCAGAATCTTGTATACAAATGTGCACATATATTCTTGATTGAGTTAATTAACAGACCTCTCAGACTTGAGGCTGCTGAGCAAACATAAATGAGATGGGAGCCTTCTTATAGAAGACATCCCAATTGTTTGGGTCTTACTCACCAGAGAGTTTCCCAAAGAACAGATTTTCTTCTTCATCTGTCCAAGTCAAGCTGTTGAAGACCTCTGGTGATTTCTTTTATCCGTTGGCTTGAGATACTATTTAGGAGTTTCTTTGGGAATGTTATTTATGTATCCCTAGGCAATTTTTCTTTTTCAGATTCAAATGAAAGATACTTCAGATAGATTTGTGGGTTTTACATATATTTTCCAAGAGTAATTGATTAATTAGGCTGGATGAAAATATGTGACAAAAATCTTAGTTTTTCTACTATGAACATCCTAACTTAGTGGCGAGGTTTAGTAACTTACTTTGCTTTGAATGGCTCTCCAGATAGCTTGGAAGTTTCTGGAGATAATAAGTGGGCCCTATATTATGTGTCTTTCCCAGAGTACCAAATTATATGTTTTATAAGTGCCCAAGAAATACTAATTAAATGAATAAATGAACTCAGCAGTACATTTGATGCTCTATTGTATTTATGTAAAATGGGGGCAACTTTCTTTGCTTTATGCACTTTGACACACTTAACAAACATGAATTCTGTGGCTACAATTCCACATTCCAAACTTGTGAATCTGAGAACATTTATCTTACATTACAACAGGAAAGCCAAGCTTTCTCTAAAGCACAAGCTTAAAACTTCTATTTGGGATGGTTGGAATTGGACCTCTTTTCTCATTTTTCTTGCCTTTCTTGCATTTCTCTTCAAATACTCTTGTGTTTCAGTAAGAGCTTTCTAGAGAATATTTTTAGCATTAACATAAATAGGAGAGTACTTTAGAAAATTCATGGAAAAATAGAATCAGAAGATAATATATATCTTTCCATGAACTTTTTTTCTTTTTTTTTTTAAAAGATGACTGGTAAGGGGATCTTAACCCTTGACTTGGTGTTGTCAGCACCTCGCTCACCCAGTGAGCTAACCAGCCATCCCTATATAGGATCCGAACCCGTGGCCTTGGTGTTATCAGCACCATACTCTCCTGAGTGAGCCACGGGCTGGCCTTCTTTCCATGAACTTTTTGAAGTACCTTCATATTTTCATGTTCCACCTTGAGACTGTGATTATGTTTGAGCTAGTCCTTCTACTGTGTAAGGCATTGCTTTTACATAGTGGTTATCTGACTCTTTTCGAAATAATTACTTTTCAAATAAATTTTTCCTGGTTATTATTACAGGAAAGTCATTATATTTATCATTTTTCGGTGATAATTGTTTTGTTTATAAGTGATAGTACCTAGTTTAATTGATAATGACTAATGAATCCTCCAGGGATGGACTGGTGTGAACTAGCACACTTTAGTGTCCCTCACCTGCATGTTTCTATCAAACTTATGTGTTCTTAGGGACCCTTTTACTTCTGCCTGGACTCCCTTTCATAAATCTTGTAAAGGAGATTTAACTTTTCCTAAAAGTTTCCTATATATAGTCCATAGGTATTACTTGGGGCGGTGTTAGTATTAACAACAAAACATATAAAACTATTGCCTAAGGGTGGAAATTGTAGGCAGGCAGGCCTGGCAATAATGCCCTCATCACTTGGCCTCATTTTTTGTGAAACCACGTTATTCTAATCATGATTGTGTCTTCAAAGAGGAGGGAACAGACTGACCAAGGGATTTTTCTTTATTTCTTTTCTTTTTCTAGCTCTATTAGGGTATAATTAGTATATAAAGAACTCCACATAATTAATGTATACAATTTGGTGGGTTTGGACTTATGTATATACTTATATTACCATTACCATTACCATAATCAAGGTAATAAACGTATTCATCACTTCCAAAAGTTTTCTTGTTCAAAGTTTTCTTGCTCTAGGGCCGGCCCGGTGGCGCACTGCTACAGTGCGCTGCTTGGGAGCATGGTGGCGCTCCCGCCGAGGGTTCGGATCCCACATACAGACTGGTTCCTGCTCACTGGCTGAGCGAGGTGCGGGCGCAGCACCGAGGTTTGCGATCCCGTTGCCGGTCCCGGTCCGGTACGGGCGCGACACTGAGGGTTGTGATCCGTTGCCGGACACGAAAAAAGACAAAAAAAAAAAAGGAAAAAAAAAAAATTTTCTTGCTCTCCCCTTTTGTTTTAACGGTAAAAACACTTAACATGAAATCTATCCTCTTAATAAATTTTTAAGTGTGCTGTACCTTATTGATAACTATAGGCACTATGTTGTACAGCAGGTCTCTGGAACTTACTCATCTTTTATAACTGTAACAGCGATAATTTTCTGTGGATTCCTTACATAGGTTTTTAGGAATCTAAAGAATGGTTGCAGCATTCTAGGACATTTTGATTTTCCCTGAAGACAGGATCCTGGTGAGCAAGTATGCAAGGTTTAGCAATACAGGGTTCCTTAATATTATCTAGCTTTCCTCAGAGGGCTTTCTTCTTTCCTTTAGTGAGATTAGTCGCCTGGACCTGGGTCTAAGTGTGGAGGTATGGAACAAGGGACTGATCTGGGACACCATGGTGGGGACCGTGTGGATTGCACTGAAGACTATTCGTCAGTCGGATGAGGTCAGTCAGTGCATTGCCTGTTTGGAGGTATGGTTCCTAGCCCTTGCCTTTCCCTATCCTAGTTCCATTTTAGCTAATATTTATCCATACATCTTAGATTACTCTTCCCCCTTTCTACTTGGAGGGCATATGACCTGTCTATTCCTAACCTCACCCAGAGGATAAAAGGATTTTATTTGTCTGGTCTTCCCTATGTCCTGTGTCTGAACTTATAGATGTGAGAGCACCTTTTCAGCCTTATCAGATAGATAGCCCCTTCTAAGTAGTGTTTGTGTGTTTACCTAGCATACCTGTGGTTTCTGCATTGTCCTCTAAGACACTGCCGTGGGAAGAGTCCCATTAAACTTCCATAGCCAACTGGCTGGATCCTAGTCTCTGCTTTGTTTCTTTGAGTCACCAGTCCCTAGGGAGCTGGTTTCAGTCCTCTTCTGCATGTAACCCTTACAGAGTTTAAGGAACTAGCAGGCTTGGCAACTGGTATTCACACTATTTCTATGAATTATTTCCAGGACTGAGCTCCTACTGCGCTTTCCCAGATTAAATCATAACTCAGCATCATTTTTCCATAGTCACTCACTTTGAGCCTGGAAAGAACCTGTTATAGTCCTATTTGGCTTTAATGTTGACCATGAGTTTTCTCTGGGAATGGGGAAGTTGAAGGTGTTGCCTCTGTTCTCTATATTTCTTTCAGTTCTGGCTAAGTGTCTATTCCTCCAGGCAGATGGGCAATTCGTTTTCATTGCAGCCCCAGTTCATTTCTACTTAACTAGCAGTATTAGTAGCTCTCTACTAATTAGAAGCAGTGACACGCATCATTGTGACACAGTCACTAAGAATTGTGCAGATCTGTGGAGATGCTTAGTTTTAGAGTTTGGTACTCTGGAAATTATATCCTCACTGGGCCTGCAGAGAGCTGAGCATGGTGGAAGCTGCTCTCCCCACCAAGGAGGGAGAATAGAAGCCACATGCAGCAGAGACAAGTGGTGACAGTGGCATGTTTGCCTTATCAGAGTGTGAGTGGCTCTCAGAAGCTCTCAAACAAGGAATTTCGGAGAAAAGCACCTGGCTCTTGAACCAAGAGGGGAGCCAAGAAAGTTTAAAGTTTCATCTTAGATCTTTGTTTCCTAGGAAGGGCCTGGGGAGTGGTCCACGTTGGAGGCAGAGACATTAATGAAAGATGATGAGATCTGTGGAACTAAAAACCCAACTCCTCATAAAATTTTGCTTGATACAAGATTTGAGTTGCCTTTTGGTGAGTCTATTTGATTAGATTTTTAAAGCCATTCAATACTTTTTACCCTATTGTTTGAAATTGTTTGCTAGTTGTTTCATTAATGTATATTTTGTCTCCTCAGCCATCTCTTTTTGAAGACATTCTGTGTTCATCCACTCTATGCCCCATAACACCTAGCCTAGGGTATGGTGCAAAGTAGACTCTAGAATGGTGCTCATTAAAGAATCCACATTAAAAAACATTCTCTTTGAGTCATTTAATTTTCTGTATCTATTTATTATAATGACTTATGAGATATCTGCTTGTTAGATTTATTCTTTTGAAAATATTTCAAAACTTATTGAAGTGAATGTATACCTTATGAGTTGTCAATTTAAATATTGAATAACACTGATAAGTAAGGAAGTGCTTTACAAATTAGGTTATAGATTACTTGAAAGTTTTTATGATAAGACTTTGAAATATTGCCACCAATTACTGAAGAGCTGTTCGAAGGGAAGGAGCTAGAGTTTTGGATAGGAAGAACAAAGGAGAAATGGCTGTATTTGCTTCCTTTGTGTGGACTATTAGAAAGTGTATCTTTAAATGTCTCTGAAGATTATCTGATCCACATATTGCCTCAGTGTTTCTTTTTTGTGATGGGATATATTGGGTATATTTGATTTTTCTAAAAGATGAGTTTTTTGGGGGAAGTTGTTATAGTTAATGTTAAATATCTAAAAATACCATTATTTTTTTAAAGTCTAAATTTTGCATTTATTGACTCGTTGAACAAATACTTGAGCATCTGATATTTTCCAGACATAAAACGTATGAGTTTTTTTTAAGTTTCTTAAAAAACATTTTTTTTAATTGTGGTGAAAAACACATAACTTGAAATTTAACATGTTATTCATTTTTAAGTGTGCATGTACTTCATTAGTGTTAAGTATATTCACACTGTTGTGCAACAGATCTCCAGAACACTCTTATCTTGCAAAACTAAAAGTCTATACCTGTTAAATCATTACCCTTTACCCCCCTCTCCCTAGGCCCTGGCAACCATTCTACTTTCAGTTTCTGTGAATTTGATTTTAGATACCTTATATAAGTAGCATCATACAGTACTTGTCTTTTTTTGTGATTGACTTATTTCACTTAGTATAATGTCCTCAGAGTTCATCCGTGTTGTAGCATGTGACAGGGTGTCCTTTCTTTTTAAGGCTGAGTAATGTTCCATTGTATACACAAGGGGTCTTCAAAAAGTTTGTGGAAAGATTATGAGATAGTGCTTTTAGTCCTTTTAGCTACATACCCAGAAGTGAGATAGCTGGATCATATGGTAATTCTATTTTTAATTTTTTTTTTTTTTTTGGCAGCTGGCCAGTACAGGGATTGAACCCTGGGTGTTGGTGTTATCAGCATGCTGTAGTCAACTGAGCTAACCAGCCAACCCCTTCTATTTTTTAATTTCTTGAGGAAAAAACTTATTAGTTTTGAGCATCTTGATATCCCCTGGTCTGACTCTTCTTCAAGGCTAATCCTTTGGGCTCTTTTGGTCTTTCTGAGAGGAATGTACATGCTTACATAGAAAGTATATAGGTTTTAGAATCCTACTAATTATGGTTTGAATCATGGCTCATCTGTTTATGAACTGAGTGACCTTGGCCAGATTATTTAACTCTGAGCTTCAGTTCCTATCTGAAAAAATAGAACAATGGAAGTAATAGTGCATGATACTGATTTTTGTGAAGATTCAAGATAACGTTCATGGCAAGAACCAAGCTACCAGTAAAATTCTTCCATTACTGCTACCTTCTAACTTCAGTCATTTAACTCAATAAAGTATTGTCTGTTGACAATCGAACCTAATGATGTGGTTTCTTCTTTATGGTAGATATCCCAGAGGAGGAAGCCAGATATTGGACCTACAAATTGGAACAAATCAATGCCTTGGGAGCTGACAGTGAGGTAGGAACTGCCTCATTTGCAATATATAGAGAGGGGGAAGATCTCTTATATACTTTATAGATTGTCCAGAGAGGGGCCCAAGAGCATGTAATTTGAAGAATGAAATGATTTAAAATGCACTTTTAAAAAAGGGCAGCTAGAAGATTGCCTGAAATTTCACTAGAAGGCTCCATCTCCCACTTTTTCTATATCTCCCATTGTCCCCCAGATAGCATCACTAGTCTGGCTCTAGACTGTTCGGGAGGGAAGTTATACTGGGGAAATCTGTCCTTTTTTGTTACACAAATGAGGAGAAGGCATTTCTTTTGCTCCCTCCCAGATTTTTGGATATTATCTTTATTTATATACTATTTTTAGGGATGTTTAGATTATTGCATTGCTTGGTCTTGCTGTCCTAACTTATCTCCCAAGATGAGTCTGATGCATAGAAGAGAGCATAATCAACTGAACCTGGGGCATCAGGAATAGGAAGTGTTTTTGTTATTGGAGGTGGAGGGAAAAGATGATGAGTTTGTTTACTTTTGTATATGTTGGGATACTGAAAAATGGGTCTGATTATAAGGTAGAATTTGAGTGCCACAGAATATTTCAGTGGAAGTGTCTGGTAAGCAACTTCATTAGAATTTGAAGCTCAGGGTTGGATGGAGTAGGGAGCCTCAGACATAGAGTTTCATCAAATTGAAGTCATAGCAATGGGAAAGCTTGCTCAGGTAGAGCATATGGAGAGAGTATTGAAGAAGAACAAGGACAAACTCTAGGGAACCATCAAAGACAGAATCCTGGGAAACAGAGAAAGAGCTGCTTGAAAGAGACAGAGAGTAGGAGAACCAGGAGAGGTTTGTGGAACAAAGGAAAAAAGAGATTCAAGGTGGAAATTCTTGATTATGTCATATGTTCAAAGGTAAATTTTGAAAGGGAACCATTGGATTTGGCTGTTAATGACCAGTATCCATGTATAGACTAGTCCAGGAAGCCAAAATGCAGTGGTTCGATGAAGTGTATTGGTTTCATAGGGCTGCCATAACAAAGTACCACAAACTAAGTAACTTAACAATAATTGAAATATATTCTTTCAGTTCTAGAGGCTAGAAGTCTGAAATCAAGGTGTTGGCAGGGTCAGTCCAGTTCTGTCTGGAGGCTCTGTAGAAGAAGCCATCCTATGCCTCTCTCTAGCTCTGATGGTTCCTGGCAGTCCTTGCCATTCCATGTAGATGTGTCATTCTAATGTCTGCTGTTCCTGTGTGTCTCTCTGTTTTTGCAATGCATTCTGTTATCTCTGTCTGAGTCTGTTTTAGTCCATTTGCGTTGCTATAACAGAAATACCTGAGCCTGAGTAATTTATAAAGAACAGAGGTTTGTTTGGCTTATGATTCTGGGACAGCTGTATCTGGCGTGGGCCTCAGGCTTCTTCTACTCATGGTGGAAAGCGGCAGGCAGCCAGCGAGTACAAGCAGATCACATGGTGAGAGGAGGAAGCAAGAGAGTGAGAGGGGAGGTGCCAGGGTCTTTTTAAACAACCACCTCTTGGGAACTAATAGAGTGAGATCTCACTCAGGACCCCCACCCCCCAGAGAGAGCCATTCATGAGGGATCTGCCCCCATGATTCAAACAGCTCCCAACACTGCCACATTGGGGATCAGATTTCCACATGAGTTTTGGTAGGGACAACACATCCAGACTATATCAACATCTCAATTTCCATTTTTCTTATAGGGATACCAGTCACTGAATTAATTTGATTATAGGGACAACACATCCAAACATCTCAATGGGGGACACCACATATCAACATCTCAATTTCCATTTTTCTTATAGGGATACCAGTCACTGAATTAATTTGATTACATCTACAGAAACCCTATTTCCAAATAAGGCCACCTCGCAGGTACCTAGGGTTAGAACTTCAACATATCTTTTGGGGGGACACAATTCAACCAGCAGTGAGTTAAATGAAAGGTGACGAAGTGGGATTTGGGACAAATGACAACACTCCTTTCAGGGTTTTCTCTTCCATCAGCCGAATCCTTGGCAGGCTTTCTATTATTAAGCTGCATAACTCTTCTCATGCCAAAGCCAGCACTGCAACTTTTCTTCTTTGTCAAAAGCTCCAGTCTTTTTTCTCCTCTTCATAACTGCCAGCATTTGCTCAATCCTTGTATCTACTTTACCCTTGATGTTTTTGTTCTCCCCAAGCCTGGCTGCGGAATGGTATACAGCCTTTCAAACTCCTGTCATCTTTGTTTTCCTAGTAAAGAAGCACATTGTACTTTTGATTTTACAGGTTTTACAGTGTGTTGCTATGCAGAATCAGATGAAGGTTTTAAAACAATAAAAAATAATTAAAGCATATAAAAATTGTAGAATTTTACAAGTGCTAATAATAATGGTTCTTAGTCTGTGGTTCCTAACTCTCCATGATATTTTTGCTTTCTGTTTATATTCTAGGACATGGAATTCACTAAGTTTACATCTTTAAAACCCTCTTCAACAGCTTTATTGATATATAATTCATATATACCGTACAGTTCACCCATTTAAAGTGGACAGTTCAGTGGCTTTTAGAATATTCACAGAGTTGTGCATTCATCACCACAACCAATTTTGACCATTTTCATTACCCCATAAAGAAACCCTGTGCCCTTAGCCGGCACTCTTAACCACACTACACACTCCCATCCTCCTTAGCCCTAGGCAACCACTAATATACTTTCTGTCTGTCTCTACTGACCTAGTCTGAACATTTCATATAAATGTAATTATATAATATGTGGTCCTTTTGACTGTCTTCTTTTAATGAGCATAATGTTTTCAAGGTTTGATCTCTGTTGTGTCATGTATCAGTACTTGATTCCTTTTTATTGCTGGATAACATTCCATTGTATACTACATTTTATTTGTTCATTCATCAGTTGACGTATAATTGTGTCGTTTCTACTTTTTAGCTATTATGGATAATGCTGCTATGAACATTCATGTATAAAATTTTGTGCGGACATATGTTTTCAATTTTCTTGGGTATATACCTGGGAGTGAAATTGCTGGATCACATGGTAACTCTATATTTAACTGTTTGAAAGACTGCCAGACTGTTTTTGCAAAGTGTCTGTGACGTTTTACATTCCCACCAGCAGTGTATAATGGTTCCAATTTCTTCTCATCCTTGTCAGCACTTTTTATTATATCTTATTGATTATGTTCATCCTAGCAGGCGTGAAGTGGTACCTCATTGTGGTTGCCACTCCATTTAAAAACTTTTTTATTAATGGAAATTTTCAAATATGAAAAAAATATGGAATTATTCTTCCTCTTTTTTTGCTGGAGTAATTTAAAACCAATCCCAAATATCTTGTCTCACCTAGAAATACATCAGTATATATCTCTAACAGATAATGCCTTTAAAAAAATAACCACTGTGCCATTACCGGTTGAGCATTCCTAATCCAAAAACCCACAATCTGAAATGCTCTAAAAACCGAAACTTTTTGAGCACCTCTGATGCTGAAAAGAAATGCATTTTGGATTTTTGGATTAGGAACGCTCAACTAGTATTGCATTGAATTTAACAATAGTTTCTTAATGTCATCTAATATCTATTCTGAGTTCAGATTTCCTTTATTGTCTCAGTGATGTCTTTTCATAGTTGATTTGTTCAGTTAAGATCCAAACAATATGTACCTATTTGGCTATGTCTCTTAAATCATTTTTATTACATAAATGTTCCCCTTCCTTCATTTGTTTTGTAGAATTCTGCACATTCTGGATTTGGCTGATAATGTCTCCAAGGTTTTATTTACCATGTTCCTTTATCCTTCTTACATCCTTTAAACTTGTAATTACATCTAGTAGCTTGAGGGTTAGATTGAAACCAGGTTTTTTTTGGTAGGCTGTTTGTGTCTTATCCCACTTTTAGTGACTTTTTTTTTTTTTTTTTTTTTTTTCCTTTTT